ACATATATAGTATATTTATACTTATGCGCTTAGCTTTCAATTTATTAGATACTTGTAAGAGATGAAACTACAAGTATGTTCGGTTGTTTTGCGTTAAGTGCCGATATTAAAAGTCTTAGCAAAAATAGGCCACAATAGTAAAATGCAAATGCAATACAACAGGAACTGGTCTGACATAAAACACATCTTACTAGATAACAGGGATAAGAATGGCTTCTAACCAGCAAAAAACTGTCACTCAAAAATAAGGTTGCTTTAAAGAAGTCCTGCATCGCTTCTTCTTGGCGATATGGCTTTCAGGTATAAGTAATCGCTGCAAAATCCCGTCTGGAGAAAATCCAAGTTCATCAAGCCAAAACCCTTCGGCTGACTTTAAAGGAGGAAATTTAATGAGAAGGACGCTGAAGAGGTCACACGCCTTACCAAACGATTTATTTAAATTATAAATGTTACATAAGACTAAGATAGTTTAAGTTGTACTTGTATTTAGTTATAAGTTTAATTTAAGTATTCAAACAGTAGTATAATTAAAGTGTAAATATCTGAAGAATCTCAGGATAAAAAGTCAAATGAAAATTGCTACTTCATTGGTATTTTTCTATCATTAATCCTTGCAGAGTATTATAAATATCCTTTATAACTTTGCACCAAGGTTTCTTTTCCATGGATATAAATACTTATTATGTAGACATAGACACATAGCAGTTGTTGAATCGAGAAATGCAAAATAAATTCACAGAAATGTTTTTAAATGGAAGGGTTTACATTTCAGCTCGTGGCTCATCACCATGGATAAATATTTTGTAAGTCACATAGAGCTCCAGCACAGAGGAATATAGCTTCCAAGATCCTTTTTTACTTGAGTGTATAAATTAAGCGTTTAATGAATTGTGGCTGCAGAAAAATTATAATTTCATTGCTGAAATAATATATTTTACGACTCCAACAACATTTTAAAATTGTAAGTAAACATGAGTAGCAATTAGCTTTGGAATTACAAATTCATAAAACTTCTACTTGTGTCAGAATTCTATTTAAGCTGGCCAGATGACAGAAAAACTCCCCACAACGAGTCGGAGGCGATTGTTAACATTATTGTATTTTTCGTAGATTATAAAAGATGCTTTCTCATCTTTAAGTTGAAGGTACTGAATATTTTAAAATAGTCAAAATTTTTTTACGTGTCAGTAAATATATATCTCAAAGAGAATACGAGCTAGAGAAAGTTCTGGGATAATTTTTTCAGCCATGATCTTTGTCTGCGATCAAGTTAACTGGGTAATAAAAAAATGGTTTATTTGGCCAAATCTGGCAAGTATGCTTAAAAACTTACTTGACTATAGACAATCGTATAAAAATAGTCAAGTGACTGTCAAAATTAATAATGCTATAAAATATTCGGACTGTGTAATTTTTTTTTAATTGAGTTCTTCAAGAAAAACAATATTTGAAACATTTTCTTATCTATCTGTCGTTTTTTCTAGACATCAGACAATCAATAATACCGCATTAAAATAAGTATGATGCTCAAATCATAGACCTAATCCAACTCGATTATTGAGTTTTAATTGATTTAAGTCTTTATCTCGAAATTGATTAGTCCCTTCTTTAAAGAATTAGGGGATTCTGAAGCAAATAGTTGTTTTAAGTAAGGAGTTATTAATTTTCCAAATGAAAATCTGATATACCAGCACTCTTGTAAATAAAAATGTATCTGATATATCAATATTCTTTGTTTGTATTATAAATTTGTATAGGTACACAATTTTTGATAATGTTTGTCAGGATATTATTAAAACCAATTATTGCAATCAAGACATAGGTCGCAAGCGCGCTTAAACTAATTTATCAAACAACCCACTGTTGAGTCCAAATACCAATTTCACGTATTTTGTAGGGATTCTTTAAGCGACCCACGACATTTTCAAGTTAGTTGTTGCAAATAAAATTTGTACACCAATGTTCGGTATGCCTTGGCACTGGTTTTTCGGATTTGCAGGTATGCCTTGTCTGCCCTATGTGGGTTGGGCTCACAGCACAGAATAATCACAAACATAGGCATATACACACATACATACGTACGTACTCGTACAATACAAGCGAGCCTGAAGCAGAGGAAAGTGCTTTTGAAACAAATAATATTTTCAAGACATTTTAAGGGATTCATCAATTGCTCAGTCTACATCCACAGTATGTTTTTTTGGATGTAGTATTTTAAAATTCGCTTATTTACATTATGTCACCATCAAGTATATACACACACACACACACACATGCATAGTTATATTTATGTATTGTTTACACAGGATACAATATCAAATTGCATGAGATTTTAAGTTATAACTTACTTGAAATTGTCGCTAGCTGACCCTGGGATAGAGGAGTTGGTGTTGGAAACTTTGAATTTGTTGAAAACTTGTTATTTATTTTATATTTGCACAGAATGAAAAAATGTAAACACAAGTATATGTGAGTATTGTACACAAAATGAAATGGAAACACCACACAGACGACGAGTACAGCGTGCGCCTCTCTGGGACAGCAAAGGAAGCCAAATCAGGTCCTTAACACTAATTCAGGAAACGGTTTTCATTGTTACCACAAACACGAACTCATCATAGTTAATTAGTTCATAAACTTTATTTTATCTTGTAGTGCATTTTTGAGAAATTAGAAAAAACACACGAAAATTTTACAGCCGCACGAATTTCGTTGACAGGAGAAGACGTCAATGGGCTGCTCAATTGCACGTTTCGATTCCACACATATTCGCTGGGCGAGAGAGCATAAAGGAGAGAGCGAGAGCGAGAGCGAACAGAGCCAAAACCGCGCAGCTGTTGTCCTGCGGTAGGAAGCAGGGGTAGCAACTGTCAAAGTGACAGGACTCAGTGCGCAGTCGTCATTTGTTCCGATTTCGGTCGTTGCGAGGACGCTGGCTCTGGCCTGGGGCAAAGGGTTGGCCAGAGCGGCGGAGAGGGCGACAATTACCTGGAGAATTGGCATTAGCCCATTTTCGTTGCGTTATAAATTACGCTCGTCTCTTTTGAACATTGGAAACTCCAGCCGCACACTTCTCTGCATGGGCACATTTCGCATTTCTGGATTGGGGTACTCCCATATGGTAACTGGCTCCAGGGTGGTTGCAGGGGACTGCAATTACATTTAACTCCCATGCGTTCGCTGTGATGTGGAATTAATTTTCGATTTTATTGTCACTTTCTCAATTGCTTGACTGCGTCTTCCAGGGCCTTTGATTTAATTGAAAATGTGATGGATATGAATATGCAATTTTAGGCAATAAAAGGTTCACATGAAAGTGTAAAAGTTACACTTATTATGACAGAATACTCTCTTATTTCTTATACTTAAACTTTAATTGCTGCAGACAGCTATTGGTACTAAAAATGCTTTCACTCGTCTCCTATACTACAGAATATTATATTTATGTCAATACAAATAAACTCAATTTTATTTGATTGAAAAAAAAATACCCAACTTTCGTAATTTATTCATGATTGCCACAGATTTTAATTCATTTGGCTTGCCATCAAAAAATTCTGATATCTTTTCAACATATGATAGCCCAAAAAGTGATATTTATATAAGAGACTATATGTATATAACATGGTGAATACTATATAGACTTTGTATATAATTTTTTGAACACCGATAGACAAAGACATTTTCTACTATTTTTAAGAGATAATATGCCGAAGCAACACATTTCAAGCTTGAAAATATTGAGACAATTGGCTTGAAAGAAATTCTTAGTTTATTTAGATATTTTTTCAAAGTTCTCCATTTATTATAAATACTATAAATTTAAAAGGAATTTATTGAGTTTCACAATCATCTATAGAAACTGTTGTTTTGTGAAAAAAACTCAACCTTCATTAGAGTATTTGTTGCACTTTTTAAATTACTTTTTTGTTCAGTGCCTTCATACTGATAGTATAATGGAGTTGATTCGAAAACAGCCAATGTTCTGTTTTCTTGAAATGACAATGTTGATAAATTATGGATCACAATACATTCCAGAAAAACTACATATACCATACTGCATATTCCAATCTTTTCACTAAGGCAAAAAGTAGTTACGGAACTAAAAGAAATAAGTATTTTGTAAGCTTAAGAGGATTTTTAATTCTCGTTAGTTCTTGTAAGAGAAGCAGGCGTGGTAGATCCCACATATTATTTATATTCTATATATTCTGATAAGACAAGTCATTGTAGAAGAGATCCAAAAGTACGAGATCTAGAGTTACAGAGCTTGAATGCATTCTACCCAAAGACCGGTAGATATCAAGCTTATGGATTTTATTATCTAATATGGTCCTTCACTTCCCTATAAAAATATATAGTGTACACCTAATTCAGTTTTAACATGGTATTTTTTACACGATTTTGATATAACACGGTTTGAAAATGAAAAATTTCATATATATTGCTTTAGAGATAAGGAACCCATTTTTACACGTTTGTTTCTGGAACCAATTTACCCTGTAAAAGCAGAATTAGGTATATATCAAAAAGTATAAAATTGATCTTTTTCCCTTCTTCTTTCCCTTCTTACATTATGACAACTGGCCGAATGTTCTTATGTAGTTTTGCTTCGAGATTTTCAATTGGAGTGCACGGATAATATGGCGAGCCCAATCATAACTAGTCCCTATATCAATTAGTTTTTTGCATAAAAATAAACAATATTGTTCATGAAGAGAAGGTAGTGGTTATATATCGGCTTCCATAATTTGCGGGTCGTGGACAGAGATCGTGGAATGAGAAAAAAAGGTGGTAGTGCAGATAGATTGACGGCTTCAGACAATGAAGGAAACTGAATTTTTAGAGAAGATAGTGTTAGCTCATGTAACCTTTTGTATCAAATGTGTGTTAAGTATGACAATTTTATAATATTACTTTGCCCATTGTGTCAAGTCGGGGTCATGTACTCTCAAATAATGAAACTGTATTGTAGTGCATCGACTTAACGAATTTAACACAAGTTTATATTTTTATATGGGACACTAAAAGACGCAAAAACAACATGTGGGAGAAATTCATGACTTGTTTTAAAAGTAATGGCGGAAAGCCGTGTGAAGCGGTAAAATTGACAGAGCTTTACAAACGAGTGCCGCCCAATCAACGCCAGGAATTTCAGAATTTCCTCCGAAAGCATGAGGAGTACAAACAGTAAGTGTTATTGCGTTTTTAGTTCATGCCTCTTAAATGCCGAGCCCTCCCCCAAGGCGCGTTCGGAAGTTTCCGGGTAGCATGCCACGAATTGATTGGAAGTATTATGAGCAGAATGTTAGACCGGAGTTCGTGAGCTGGGTAAAAGATTTTCAAAAGAAATACGATCACTTAGACAGTGTCTTTGCAAATCGCCATTCCATGATCAATTACGCGAATTATTTCTCGAATGTGGATAAGGAGACAGCGGAATTGAAAAAGCAAATAGCAAAGTACAAAGAAGAGTCTAATTGCCGCATTAAAGTCCTGCAAGAGCGATTGAACTATATTAAAGGTTTAAAACCGTACGAGGAAATGACAATGGAGGAATTTTGCCTAACACGTCCTGAATCAGCGCCGGATTTCATAAATAAGCCCACCTTTTGGCCACATTTACCTGAAGAACAGGTGCCTGGGCCCATGGTTGTGCACATACCAGAGGAAGTACCTGAGCAGGATAAGAAGCCTCCCAGCACTGAAGGCACTAAACCACCTGCAGCAGCGCCAAGTGGAACCTCACCTCCAAAAGCACCTCCAGCAGATATGGCCAAACCGTCTCCTGGGGATACAAAGCCGCCATCTCCTGATCAAAAGGTACCAGAATGTTCGTCACCACAAGTTGCACCTCCTTCGAAAGTCTCCACACCGCCGGTTGAATCTGGCTCTGCTGCATCGGCAAGCAAGGACTGTATCAAACTGATCCCCACGGACAAAAATCCATATGTTAAATCGGAAACGTGTAAAAGTCTTGATGGGAAAACAGGAGATCAATTGAAAACAAAAGTGGATGGGCAGTCGAAGGACTTTGAGGCTATGGCAGCGGACTTAGCGGCAAGGGGTGCTGAACTGGCTAGTCAGTTGATCACTACGGGCTCAAATATTCTGAGGACCATCTTTCAAAAGGTAGCCGCCAAAAAAAGAGAGATGGAAGAAGCTTCAAAGGCTGCCAAAATAAAAGAAGCTGAAAAGATTGCGGCGAGCAAGATTCAGCCAAAGCCATCTCCGGAGGACGCTGTGTATCAAAACCGAAAAGGATCCCCGGATGTTTGCCAGAAAACAATAATACAAGGAGATGAGCGAATTGAGCCCGATGTAAAGCCACATCATGCCAATCTTAGCAACAAATCTGGAGCACCATGTGAGAAACATAAGGACGTATGCCCAGACGAGGTATGCCCCCAAAAAGACAATAAGAAACCAAAAGATTGTCGTGATATTGAATCTGAGGACAGAAAATGTTTTCAGAAACTCGAAACATTTTCGCAAGAAAGTACCGAATGCGAGGAAAATATTGCTAAAAGCGATTGTAGAGATTTTCAAAAGCTAGAACCTATTTCTGTTGAGAATGCCAAGTCAATTGAAAAAAAAGATTGTGAGAACGCTAAGCCAATTGAAAAAAAAGATTGTGAGAACGCTAAGCCAATTGAAAAAAAAGATTGTGAGAACGCTAAGTCAATGGACAAAAAAGATTGTAAGAACGTTAGGTTAATTGAAAAAAAAGATTGTGAGCCCCAACAGGAAAGTGACACGGAGGGAAAAACTGATTTAAGGAAGAAAGTCGACGAGGACTGCACAGCACTCCACCAAGAAAAACCAAATGCCAAAGTTGACGATAACCCAAAATCAAATGCGAAAATTGATTTGGAGACCTGCGAGCCCGTTTTCGTCTGCACAAACATTGATCCAGACATCAAAGGTACCGGACCTAAAAGCACGACAAATAAAAAATTGGCGGAAGCAATAGCAAAACCCTCAAGGACTTCGAAGCCAGAGCATTCCAATGATCCCGAAGCTCAAATGAAAACGTTCGTGAGTTCAAGCGATAAAAATGTGATTACGGGCGAAATTGTAATTACAGAAGATAGTTCAGAGTCCAAAGAGCTACATCCATTGGTTCTGGATAAAAGCAAACCACGCCTTCCTATTGCAACCACTGACAATACGCATAAAATGAGCAGCGAGATCGACGAGAGGGCAGATACTGGCATGATGAGGGGAATTACGCTCAGTGGCAAGCCCAAATATGTGGACCCTAAGGAATTTAAAGAACAACAAGAGCGTTTTAATTTGAAGAAAACTACACAAAAGGATTCAATTCCTCTTACTACAAATTATACAAAGCGAGACTTTCAACCAATAAAGCTTGGTGGAAAGTTGAAACCTGGGCTAGAGTCTGAAGAGGAGGAATATAACAGGGAAACTAGCGGAAGCGAAATAAAATACCACAAAGGCGGTTCTGAGTCAACCAAGGATATCAACGATGCCATGACCCTAAATGAAAGATCCGATTTGTCGGGGAGGGGCGATGGCTGGGAAATATTTAAGAAATTGAGCAAAGATAAAATGAAAAAACAGTTCGACTCCAAAGAGCTGGTTGAGCCAATAAAACAGGCTGTAGAGAAAACAACTGAAGAGCACAATGTGCGTGAAGATAAAGGAAAACCAAAGGACGTGGCTGAAAACGTAAAATCTAAAGAAGCTGTTACACCAGATGATATGGCCAAAAATGTGTTTACAATGGCCACGGATGCAGCCACTCTACTAACCGAGGCGACAAAGGCCCTCGAAAATGCAAAGAAAGCGGTGAACGACAATGTCGGGCTGGAGGCGGCATATCTATCAGCCCGGATCCACGCAGATCGTGCCTTAGCGGAGGCTCACAAGGCCGTAGCAGCTGCACGGAAGTTGACCAAACGTGCTCAAAACAGCAGCAAAAGTAAATATAGCGAGGCCGCCATGCTGGCCGAAAAGCATGCCATGTTGGCCAAATTGCTGGCCAAACGCGCTCTCCACTTGAAAAGAGAGATTGCCAAATTGTTAGGCACCAAAAAGTCCAAGTGAACTGCCCAGTGACAGATGTCTTATACATATACATATATTCGTATTTAAATATTGTTGCAGCTCCTATTAATTTTGTTTCGATCTTTTCGTTTTGTCATTAAATTTTCTGTTTCATTAAAGGCCATGAGTTAAGTTTTTATTTGCCGGGCACCCATCAGCTTGAAAGTTATGCAGATTTGGACAAAGCTCATCCATTTCACCATAAATTTAGCCAGACGCAAAATCGAAACTCAGCCAGCTCCGGTGCAGCTAACTTTTGCCTAATGCGCCAACAATTTCCATATAGTAAGGTGAGTGGCTAGTTGGGTTGTGGCCTGGTCCCCTTTCATCTATGTATGTATGTATGTATGTATGGGTGGGACTGTGAGTGTGAGTGCCTGGTAGATTGCATAATTATGCAAATGTGTTGTTTTTCGGTATTTCAAGTGGCACATTTGAAAGTGTTGCCTACTTTCTAGCGCACACGCAGTACGAGGCGCACAATCAAATACATTTGCATAATTATACAAAGCTTGAAATGCTGTGTGAGTGTTTGAGAGTGTGTGTGTATATATACTCGTATTCATATCTGCGAATTTATCGGTGTGTGCGTGTGGCTGTGTTGAAATTAAGTTTTAATAGTTTGGCGCTTTAAGCTTAAAAATCCATTTTGCTGGTATACCATTGAGTTGAGAAGCAACAAAAACAACAAGAGCAACAGCAGCAGCAGGCGTAAAACGACAACAATGGCAGCTGTTAACGCTTAAACAATGCAAATATGCTGCCCAAATCCGCTTTTTGTATTTTTATTTTTATAAACTTCCCAGCGGCAAACAAGCGATATAAATTCAATTTGAACGCGCGACTCCACACAGAGACACTAGCAAACATAAAACGGGCGCCTGGGCCTGAACCTGGACTCCGCTTTCTGTGCCTGAGCCTGCGTCTGCTCTCTGCCTGTTGCCCTTAAGGCTTTCGCTTTAGCTTTGTGCGCCATTGTTGCCGCCTTATCGCTTAATCGATTTCGTAGGTGACAAAAGCATTTTGTAAGGCTTCGGGCTCACTTAATTTACCTTTGGGATTGTTTGCCCAGTTAGCCTTTGTTTGTCACATAAATTTGCATATTTATTTAGAGTGCCGAAAAGGATTATTCATGAGCCAGCAAGTAGCCAAAATGCTTAAAGCAAGCTGTAGCTTATTTATACGAATATAAGTATGTATATATTTATTTGCAAGCGGCAATGTAGAAATGGCCAAGCATTTCGTAAGGGATAGGGTTTCGATTGAGACTGACAATGAAACAAAACCCGCAGCGCACGCAATTGCATTTCAATGCCAAAATTGTTTACGAACTACGCCGGGCGCAGGCGACTATAGCTAGATATGGAACAGGGTGATCTGCAGTGCAAGCCATTACAATTTCGATCTTTACAGCTCTGGATTAAAATGGTCTTAATAGTCTCCTAACAAAGACAGAGGTAACAATTGGATATTGTAGGCAATGCATCAAAACTTATACAACAGTTTCGGGAGACAAAACGGGAGCCACGTCTGTTTTTCTTTTAATAAGAAAATTTGTAGTTATCGTTCTTATAGGGAAGTGCCACTCTCTGGCATTTCTTGTGTTACTAATAAGTTTTGTTTTGAAGCGATTCTTGTTTAATTATGCTACTGTGAAACCAAATAAACTATAATTTAAAAGCGTCGGAATATATATTACAATAATAATCTGAACCTAAAGTTTGTAAAATGTAAAAGGAACGAAGTGTATATGTATATTCTTGATCAGCATGACAAGAATAGTCCTGTCCGTCTGCTCCGCAAATGCTCATACATAGACAGATTACCGATGTACAAGGAATAATCGATCAACGAACATTTCCTTATCACAATTGGGTTTTTTTTTTCAGATTTGTTAATTTTTTTAAATAAATATATGGTTCTTTAAAGTTTATATATTCATTGTTTAATAATTTCAATGATTTTGAAATTACTCAAAAGTATTTATTGCAATTTGGTAAAAAATACCAAAGTAGTTTCTTGTTTGTTTGTAAGAACAGGGTTTATTTCCTTCTATTTATGAAACGTCTAAACTCATCCATAATTTATGAAAACACCCTGTTGACTTTATGCGCTGCTCATAACACTTGACAATTGCCTGCTGTTTGCAGTTATGTTGGCAATATAAAATATTGCCATTGTGTTTATTGTTTTCGGCAATTGCAGACAGTTGTGCACTTGTCGCTGGCAATTTGCAATTGAAATGGAATTTATTTTTATATGAGTACATTTCTTGGCAACGTTGTGGACACAGTTTTTGGCAGTGGCTCAAAGCCACAGTTGCATTCAACTCTCCCGATTTGTCTTTAAGCATATAGTATTTGGTCTCGCTCACAGTTTGGCGGACTAATTGATTCAGTTTCATTGGCTCTTTCGGCTGCTACTTGTATATATAAAACTAAATAGTTTAAGCTTTTGACTATCACATAAATATTCCACCACATTGCGTTGTTGACATTTATGTCGCCTATTACAAATATATATGTGTATATACATATATTGTGAAATACCTACATGTAGTTACCTTTATATATGCATGTATATGTGTATGCTAACAGAGGTAGGCGCTGTAGGGAGCCCTGTGCTTTTTTATTGCCCCATTTGTGGCGCGTAGTTGGCATTATGATTTGGCTAACGATTTGCGTGCCTTTGTGTTGATTAACATTTTTATGGGGAAAGCAAATATTTGGGGGCCAGCAAGCAACAACAGCAACAACAATAGCAACAGACGCAGCAGCAACCGCACGCTTCAGCGTGTGGCACCAGGCACTTTTTAATAGCATAGTTTTAGGCATAAGTTATGCGCACAAAAGCCTAATTAGCAGCGTTTAACTAAGCCTGGCGGCGTGTGCGTGCATCTGTGTGTATTGTTGACTGTTTTCAACGCGACGTGATCGTGGTTGTTAAATCAACAAAAGCAACATATATCCACAAACACACACAGTTACAAAGCGTTCACACAGAGCGGGGCTCAGAGCTCAGCATAGAGATGGGTGTGCGAGGAAAGATTTGCAAAAAAGGATGGGATTTTGCTAATCGTATAAATGCATTTACATTACATTATCCTATTATAGGTAGATATATCAAATGCATATAATGCTCTACGTTGAAAAGAAATTAAATATATATAAATAATATGAATGTATCGCATAATGCCTTCATCACACTTAATCAGGGAGCCAGATTACTGTTCAAAGTTTTCAAAGTTCGTTCGATTGAGCGCAAAAATTATTTGTTAACATTTAGTTGCAATCGCATCAAGAGACCATTTGTCTTAAAAGATCTTTCGTAACTTGGAGTATTTTCATGATTCGTTTTCTAAGCTACACTACAACTCGAAATCACGCCACATACACATCCTTAGCTCAGCAGGTAAATGAAAATTTCTAAACAGAATGACAAAGGCAGGCGGCCCGTGGCTTATACGTTGTCCGCGCAGCATGGCGCTTGATTAGTGAACACAGCCCCTCATCTTGACTACTGAGCGTGTGGCCACAGTTGCCGTCTACCCCACTCGGATCCCTACACACATACTCCACCATATACTTGTACAGACAACCACACACTTAACGACGTAGTTAGCGTTAGTTAACGTATGTACGTGATATCGTTAAATTGGTATAACGTTACCAGACCACCGCAGCATAATAAGTGTCTTATTAGTTATGCTACCGGGGCTAGAACACGCGGCACACATACACACACACACACACACACACATACACTCATATATGTTAACTTGGTTCCTATTTCTCTTGCACCTAGCACTATACTTCGTTGGGTACGGCTCACATAGCAGCGGACCATGCCGTACGCATCACGTGCGCATTGCCCGAATAACAAGCTCTGAGCTGTGAGGCACGAGTTGGGAGCGTTGAGTCCGAGTCCCTAGCATTGACAATTTCCATGCCACATCAGAAAAGGTAGCCCTACAGCCTGCCTCCACGGCATGCTCATCAATGTACATTTTGTTTGCACAAATGTCAATGTCGCCTTGAATGACTAATGACGATTTGTGGCCGACAGTTGGCATGTTGGCTGATGAACGACTGGAAGCGACCATGCGTGTGTGTATGTGTGTGGGTCTGTGCGATGGCATAGGTCAGGTGATTCTGTGTTCGTTCGGCTAACGGAGGTAGTTGACACACGGGCAGCTCCAGTTGCAGCAAATCGAATTAGCCAATTTATTTCTATGTGAGAGATGTATATACATATACGAATCACGGAGCTAGAGGAAGAAATTGTTTTACTTACAGCTGCTGGCTTGATTACTCGAGAGGTCAAAATATCAGTGCAAGAGCAAGGGTACAAATCTCTAGCTCCAATCGTAAATGACCTCCAAGTAACCTGTTGGGTTTTATTTTGCCATTAAGCTAAAATTAAATATTGAAAGCGCACTGCCATAGATTTAAGATTAAGTCGTAATAATAGTAAAGTACAAGAATATCTTAATCATTTGATGTGTATTTTCCCAATAGAACGAGAAGTTTTCATTCTTTAAGGACACAGTAGGTCTCATGACAATGGAGAAAAACAATGTTTGGGTTGAGGAACATTTTATAGTATGGTTTAAAAATTAAATTAAGAGAAACTACTCACTTAATTTTGACACAATAATTATAATAATTATAACCAATAATAGTTTTAAAAGATTAAAGATATATAAAGAAATTTGTATAATTTCGACTAATAGAAGAAATTCATTAAAAAACAACAAACAATACACAATTGAATATTATTTCCTTAATTATAAAACAATATAGTAATTAAATATTATTTTCTTAAAAGTGTAAATCCGTATTTATACCCAGTACCCAAAGGGTAAGTGGGTATACTAGTTTTGTGCGAATGTATGGTACACACAGAAGGAGGCGTGGCAGACCCCACAAAGTATACAAGAATATATTTTTGATCAGGATGACAAGAAGAATCGATATAGCTATATCCGTCTGTCTGTATGAGCGCAAGGATTTCAAAAAATATAAGAGCTAGAATAACCAAACCTTGCATCCATATTCTCCTAAGTCCGAGAAAATACGAGTTTAAGTTTTTTTTTTCAACCCTGCTATTCACGATTATCCATATCCATCTTGAAATATCTAATCCAATTTGAACTATTATAGGTATTATGTGTCCGTATGTAAAATTGATATGTTAGTTATTAATAAAATTATAAACATTATAGTAAATATAATCTGTTCCCAATATAAACATGCAGATACATGATTCTGATGTAAATGTATGCTGTTGGGACTGTACATAAACATATAAATTGATATTGAATTTAATTCATTGATTTACTTTATGTTAAATTAATATTTAAAATATTTTTAAAATGTTTTTTCTCTTTTGTGGGAGTAGGTTCAGGGTATTTAAGAGTTGTACCCACTCGACTCTGGCATTCCTTTTCTATTTAATGTGTAAAATACATTCTTCTCTGCTGACTGAGCAAAGTTTCAGATTCCGTTCATGCAAATGCTGGGCAAGACGTGGTTAACCTGCTCACTTACTCGTATACTAACAAAGACAGCCCCACAAGAATCGGTAGCTCGCAAATTGCTAAGCGTCAATGACTTTAATTAATTCAAAGCAAATATTGTGCTACAACAATTCAAAGTTTTCAACTTGAGACCGAGCAAGTCCACGTCCGATGTACGCATATTCCAGCAAATTGATGAACCTGGCAAGAAAAACGAAATCTATTTGCACAGTTAAGTAAACGCTTGCCTTGGTCACTCACGGCACCAGGAAGCGAAATGAAAATTAAATTCCAAACAGCTATTGGAGAGACTGGTGCCGGGCTGGGCAGAGGATGCCAGGTAAGCGTAATCGTATAGTATTTACTTTTTAACGATGCTTGTTTATTTTTTAATTTCCTTTCAATTAAGCAACAAACAAGTCGGACAGTTGGACGCAGCTCTGCACAGTCGCAGAGAAAGTGGGAGTGTGGCAGACAAAAAGTCAAAACGGCAACCTTGGCAGAGCGTGTCCACCGCCATGATGGCAGCAGAGCAAACAGAACAATGAAAATTCGCTGAAATCAAATGAAATGAAAACGAAATGCAATCAATTCTTGCTAAACATGGCTGCCCAATTCATTAAATGAAATAAAAAGCCCTGAGGCCGACCTTTTGGGGGCTGATGTGAAACGATTGGCATGCAAAGGGCGCACAGCTTGTTTCTAGCGGCAGATACACTTGCGGTTAATTTCCATGCGTACGGATCCAAAAAGTTAGCTATTTGCTTATGCAAAACGTGAATGCATAAATAAAACATGTCAAGTGAGTCAGTGAGCAACTGCCAGGAGCGATGGGCCGCCTGAACAGTGGGTCTCACCTTCACAAGTTCTACACCTTCAAAATGCTGTCGATGTAGTATTATAGATTTTTATTTTTTCTCAGAACTCTTTCGCAGAAGTTGCTATAAATTGGAAATCTCATTAGTAATAAATATTGCAAATATTCGAATTACAACATTTCCTCAAGGATTCCAGCTTTCACTGTTTTTGTGTTGCAAATTAAAAAATTGTGCACCGTACCGCGTTTGCTCACAATACGGGTAAACCGAGTATACGAGTAATGATAAAAATGCAAATGTTTACACAAAATTGGAAATATGGACGATAAAATACCTTCCTATTGCGATTACACAATTCTATCAACATAAAAATGTTTCACAATTCATTTCAGAAACTTTAGGAATCATTAAATCTAAATGAACATTTTAATTTCCAATCGCACCTCAGAAAATGTAAAACAACAATGGCGTTTTGGGAGTAGCAAAAGTGATTTGTTGTGAGTGGCAGATTAAAACATATTCTATGCATTACAGGAGAAGTGAAATATATTTCCAAATTCGTAACGGAAGGATAATCCTATCAAGTATTGCAAACTCTTGCGCTTTGCGAGTCCGTCTTTGAGAGTTTTAGACATAACGATAAAACGCTTTTGATTGGTACTTTTGACAAAAATAAAGGGATATGTGTTTATTTTCGGATTGTACATTTTTAATACAAAAAAAGAAAGAATAATAATCTTTGCCTGAAGTAATCATTTAATCATCTTTGGCAAAAATGCTTAAACAAAATCTAACAAATACTAGCAAATCGTGCAAAAAATTATTTTGGTATAATAATAAATAATAATTTATTCACAAAATATTCTTTTGGGAGTTTTTACGGAAGTTGTAGATTATGTTGAGGTATTATAAGAAGATTACAAATAACTTATTTGGTTGCTATACCCCGAAGGCCCTGGACATCAGATTAACTCAAAGACTCTGAGAACCAGCTGGAACTAAGGACCTGAAAAAAATATGGCCCGCAGGCCCTGGAAATTTTAATCGGTCTCATAGTTGGGACGCCTATGCAGGATAGATATATGAAAACCGAGACATGGATAGATAAATAAATATCGAATCTTTATATACGAGTAAATATACTTATTATCTTATCTTATATCTCTTCATCCTCAAAATGAATATATTCTTTATTAGTTTGAAGAGGCGTGTCGACCTTGGCTTTATATTAATATCTTTACACGGACAATTTAGCACACATGGTCTGTTGATCCCATTGTACAATGACTGTCCCAGCCATGTTTTTAGTAGGCAGCACGCATAGCGATTTTGCGGAAGTGCTGAGTGTGAGCTAAACAATTAGGCTTGCCGGAGGTCAGGAGCAGGAATATAAGTTGGGAAAACATCGGCAGCAGCAGGCACATGCCAATTACATGGATAATCCTCAATCGCATTTCAAATGCAAAAATGTAACTGCGGACGAGCACATACACACACTCAACTTCACACATACTCGCACACACTTGCACCCAGAGAGCCACACTCGCTGGCGACATCAAGTCCGAGGCATGCACAACAAAATGGAAAGCAACATGGGGCTTAGTTCCGATTCGTTTCCATTTCTTCACTAATTATAGTGCCTGTAGCTATGCAATAAAAATTTTTCAACACACGTTTATGCGCCAATAAAAAATTTTTAAAAGCAACTACCAAAAGTTTTATTGCGAGTTAATTAAGCGCAAAATACGACCACGAGGCTCCACTCGGCACCTTGGCATTAAAATTAAATGTTAATGCGTTGCCGCTGCATTGCCGGTGGAGGGAATAAAGGAGCAGGTGAAATGTGCCAGAGGCACGCAATGGAAAAGCAAAGGTATAAAACAACAAGGCATTTAATTTTTTTCTTTTACTAGACGTGCCCATTCAGAAGGACATCACTAACATATACATATAGGGACAATATACATTTGGAGACGTAGCACAGACATATGCATGCATAAGGGACATCAAGACATGCCCTAGCATGGACTTCACTAACAATTTTGACAAAACAAGAAACAAATACGCCACATTGGTAGATAATTGAATGGGTTGGGTTGAGGTCTTAAGATTATTCTTTGCAAGCCATCTGGTAGAGAAATTGAATGATGGAGCGGGTAGGCCGTCCACTCATGCGATCCTTTAGCAGATATGGTGGCACCCCTTCTTTTGATTCCAATCCGGTGCCTCGAGTATCCAGATGAACCCAATCAACGCAGGGCACCAGTTCGTAGAGCACAGCGGCCGCCAGACAGGAACTGGCTGGACCCCTGCCCTGATTGCACAGATCGTAGGTGACGTTGGGGGTGACCAGATGCTTAAAGTAGCGCCACAATGGCATGCGCCATAGACGATCGCCGGTTACGGCACCCGCCTTCTGGAACTGTTTCCACAGGAATGTGTTGTTGGTCCACAAGCCGGTGGCCGCGGCGCCCAAGCCATCGCGCACACCCTTGCACAGCGAAGCCACCTCCACAATCAGTTTCGGCTTGTACGTGGCCTGGGCATATAACAGCGGATCGGCCAGGAGTATGGAGCCGGCGCGATCCGTGTTTTGGATTCCCATGGTCTTGCCATTAAGAAGGGTCACCACATCTCCTGGCTTGGCAGCCATGCCCGATGGCATGTTCTCGCAGAGTGGCAGAACCGCCGACACATTCACGGGTAGGGAGAGAGCGGCTGCAGCACGGATGGCGGCCACCACCACTGCAGCGCCCGACATGGAGCCACGGTACTGGTCCATACCTCTCTTGGGTTTGAGGCACAGACCACCGCTGTTGAAGGTAAGACCCTTGCCAAGTAGCAGGATGGGCTTCTCCTCGGGTGTGGTGCCGCAATAGCTAACCTCCAAAACAATCGGTGGCTCGCACGACCCCTTAGCAACCATCAGAAACGAGTTAAGATTCTGTTGTTCAATCCAATCCATTGCCCGTACTTCGACACTGACACCGCACGGACAGAGGGCGTCGATGGTGGCCTGTGCGAATATGGAAGGTGTCATCTGGTTGGCTGGCGTGTCGCTAAGGCGGCGTGCCAGGTTCTGTGACTCCGCCTTGAATAGGCCACGGGTCCAGGCGTCCATCTCTGTTGAGCCGTACAAGTCTAGCTTTGGTACATGGGTGCGATTTTGCTTGCGTTTGTTTACGTTGTAGCGCCATACAGCGAGTGCGGCACCTTCAGCCGCTTGCTCCGGATAGTCCAGGCCATCTACTTGAACCTCAACGCAACCTTGCATCTGTAGGCTACGAGCGCCGACCGCAGCGCAGCAGCGCGCATTTTCCATACCGTCATCGAGCACCTCCTCGTGATTGAAGCCGGCGCCCTCCTTGCCCAAACCAACTACGGCCACGAAGTGGAACTCTTCGTCCAAATTGGCGAATACCCGGCCCTTGCCTACCTTGCCCGTCAGGCCCGACTCCCGCACGAGTGTTGAAATCTTTCCCTGCACTCGGTCGTCGAATTTCTCACCGGCAGTCGATAGTTTGGGAGCCTTCTCGCCCTCCTTCAGATACAAGCCAATTACAACACCCTTCACATCAGCCTTGCAGGTTTGAATATGTCGCACACTTGGCTTAAACATTACAGTTCGCTTGAAGGCGAGCAGTCCCCGCATCGATTTCTGTAGACATCCAGCCTGTGCCTTTGCCATTGTATATTCTGTGTTTGCGATTTGAAAATGTTCTGAATTGATAAAGGGATTATACTAAGAGTACTTAAATTTGGATCGCGGTGCAAAAAGCAATAAATACAAAAACGCACGGGAAAAAGTGTCTATAAAAATTAAATATTTCCAACGTCCTGTTGAGCCTGACTACAAAAACTAAACTACTCGACAATTTGACACGTGGTGAACACTCTGACAATTATATTTGGTCTACTGAGAAGATGAAATTCGACTTTAAATTTAAATTTAATTATCAATCCACTAGGGGTGAAGAAAGCGATGAAGGAATCATTTGTGCTTGCTTGTTTTTGGATAACCCAAGCCGAACTGTCGAAGAGAAAATAGGATATAAGTATTCTAGTATTTTAATTGATGTAGCATATGTAGTGTGTTGCTGTTGAACGTATTTAGCCGCGAAAGGTTTATTATTTATAAAATGTTGCTTAATACATATAAAGAAACTATATTAACATTTTAATATCATTTGGTAAAGCTAAAGTAACACTAAGTTGCCTTTTTAAATGATTTATTTCTATTAAGAAGAAGGAGCTAAAGCTCTCCGGTCAGTCGCAGGATCATGATATCTTTGAGATCTTAGCATTTCTCATTGTGGCTTTACTAAATTGGTTATACATCATGCTGTTCATAATAATAATATATTAATAGTGACAATGCACTGAAACGTATATCGACGTGAAAGATCTGGGCAGATTCAAATTTGACCTCGATCTGTGCTAGAAGATGGATATTTTTTGGATTCTATATCTAGAAACTATTAATTTTCCTTTCCTGTTCTTCACTGCAACTATCATTTTCGTCTGTCATTATTTTTTAACATTTATTAATGTAAATTAAAGTCAATTTCCGATAAAAATAATGAGTGGAAAAAAGTCGTTTGAAATTGATGCTTTTATATTTATTAATATTCAATTATATGTACAATTCTGATTGACTTTTCGTGTTTCATACTTATGAATAAATAATAATAATAAAATTTGAATAAATTGAAATCAATAAACCGCACTTATCTATGTATTACCGCTGGAATTTTTCCGCTCATTGCTTTTCAAAATAAGTGGTGGGAATTCAATTACTTTCGTTATCCGAGTGCAAGTACGAACATGCCGGCAAATTTTCGTCCTACGAACTTCACATAATGATTAAATTTGTAATTATGCAACAAGAAAACAACAGCACAGGACTCGCAAATGTAAAAAAAAAAACACAAATGTAATTGTCGAGGCAGAAAAAAATTCCAACCAAGCCGCAGACGAAACACGTAAAAGCAATAAAGCAATAAATTGCCCAATTTGAAGCACTATTGTAGCCAATAATTTCAGGAGCCACTTGGCAGCCTGCTGGCTCTATCTATGGAGTGAAATGGCACACACACACACGTACAGGCACACACACACGTACAGGCACATACACACGTAAGAGCGTTTGCATGTGTGCCTTTTCCATATAATTTCAACAGAAATATGCACATTTGTCAATGTCGCGTGATTGATGTGGTCGAACGCATTTCCGCCGAGCGGCAACAGCCGCAAAAAAGCCAACAGACATCCATGCCAGAGTGCAGAGAGCACATAAAAACACGCAAAAACAATTTTTTATATAAAAAAAATAAATGAAAAAAGTATAACAGCAAGCAAGTGTGAGTTCGGTGTCGACGTTGGCAACTCTGGTGTACCCAAAGGATGCTGGCGGCCGTGTTGGCGACATTACGCGATTTTACGCATGATTTAAAATTAATGACAACGGCGGCGGCGACGTTGCGGACGATTGCTCTATATGTATGTATGTATGCATGTACTATATGTGAGTATGTGTCTGGGTGTGATACCTTGCAACATCTGCCCCCACCCCTGCTCCCACCCCCAAGGTAATGCGCTTTGGTATGAAAATTTAAACATGCGCGTCGAGCGACCACCATGCAGGATGTTTAATTTCCTAAATGCATAAATCTTACTAATACGGCACAACAAAATCTAAGCATGGCTTATGCTGCTGTCGTTCTTTTTTTATTCTCTCTGTCTCTCATTGTTGTTGTTACTGTGGCTGCTGATCCAGCTCTGTGTGCGTATGTGTGCGATTGTGTGTTTGCACACAACATCCGAGAATCATAAACAAACTTCAAACGACATTTACAGTGCTGCGAGCAGAGGGAGAAGAAGGTGACGCGAACAATGGACAGTCGGACAGTAGAAATGCCAAAAAAAAAAACCACCATTGAGCTCATTACACACAAACACACACACACTCACGTGTTCAGCGCCTAGGTTGCCGCAACGATTCAGCTTCATTTGTGCGGCTCAGAAAACACGCCACGTATACGCAGCTTGTCCATCGTGCAGCTCCGGCTACCTGTGTGCGATAACGCGCTTTGAACGGCCTACTTACCCACGCAACGTTTTCATTTCTATTTCCGCTGTGCCTCCACTCCCTCCCCCTCCTCAACCCCACACACACGCACACACACAATGCCTACTTCAAACTTATGGCTGGAATGGCGGGACCCTGGTTACTCCTAACCTTTTGCTGAGCCCCGCCGTTTGTTTGTTTGTTTGCTTGTCGCTCGGTTTGTTCTGCCGTTTGTGCTTTAACTTACAGAAAATTGCCAATTGTTGTTGGCATGCAAATTTATGGCTTATTTGTTTTGCCCTTTTGTATTGTACGAGTATAGTATGTATATACTATATATGTCTCGTATATGCGTGTGTGTGTGTGTGTGTGTGAGTGTGTATGCATTGTCTATGTATACGTATACTTGAATTCATGTAGTATGCAGCTGTAGTAGTGTGGACGTCAACCCTTTTCATAAGCATAATAGCCTTTATTTGCGGGCAATACTTAGTTGTGCCTCTGGCCGATTTCATTAACAGAAATTTAGATAAGCATTAGTGTTGATGCTATCAGTCGAGTGCTAAGAGTGTCAGGCTCTGACTTTAATGTGGTAATTCAGATCGAAATATAACGAAAGTGCTCGTAAATGGTGGGGCAGTGCAGAACTTTCTGTGAATCTCTCGAGGCTCGTAAATTTGTTGGCTACAGTTTCCCAAGTCAGTGCACATTTTTCGGCTCGATTCATAAATCAAGCAATTGAATTCTAATTTTGGCTTACACATGTATGTCTAGTATATCCAGGCAGACTGATATAAATAGCTGGAACAGAGTGAGACGAGCTCATTGTGGTTGCATGCACATTTTGGCAGGAACGTCTGAGCTGAAATCAATCATGACTTTTAATGCACAAATGGGAGCAATTACAGTCAGTCGGGCAGACAAAAGAATTTCACACTTGATTTATAGTTATTCAGCTTTTTGTTATTATTGTGTACTTATTTAGTATTTGTCTGCAGCAGAAATGTGCTGATTGAAGTCTTTTGTTTCTATTCGCACACCCCCGCTCCCTTATGCATAAATGCGCTTGTGTTTCTTTTTTAATTTGCATAATTCACATACTTTTTGCACATATATATATATAAGTCGAATGGGTACAGTCTGCCACTGGGAACAGATTACACATCTGTTACGCAAAAGCCTTCCCACTATTTGGATGACAGTTTAAAATAACAAGTGAAAGTACAGCGTGTTAGCAGCTCATTAGTTGAAATGTGACAGCTACAGTAGAGATCTACTAAGGAATACAAGCAGACGCCCCACTTTTACAACAGAATACAAATTAATTAATTATTTGATTATTCAGCATTTGTAATTTTACTACTAATTACTAAGTAAGAATACTAATTCACGTAGGTACTACTTATTTAATATTCTTGGCGACTTTTTGTGAAAATATGCAATTTTAAAATCGACGCATTTTTTATTTTAATTTTAATCAACTAAGTTGTATTCAATGCTTTCAAATTAATAATATGTTCTCGATTAAATGTTATATGTATATTTTAATTTTAATTTTAATTGCTATTATAATTATCATGCTCATTATCCTATACATACATATTACGAGTATGTAAGCCCAGTAAATAAATAATAATTAGTTCGCTCATGGAGTTATACTTGTTTTAGCAATAGCTTTAGGTCTAGTTTTATTTTTTGTTAAATTGCAAAACATATTTATTAAATATTTCCTTCTTTAAAAATTATAATATATGTTATGTCATGTATAATATATATATTAAAAATACAATATTAAACTGTTTTTCAGTTTTTGGTAGCTCGGAGGTATAGTTTTTAAACTCTTATCATTTCTACCTGAAATTCGCGGCATTTAACTTGTTTTTCAGCAAAGACGTCGAGGTGTTAAATTTGTGGTGTATTAATTAAATTTCGGATCAATTTTCTTTTGTCTAGCTCTACTGAGTTACTAGGGATCCAAATTTTACATTCCGCAATATACAAATGTTTTGGGAATCCAAAATATTAGTCGTCGCCCGTATTTTTGGAATATATTTGTATTTATTTATGTTTATAATTAAGCGACTTTCCACAGGCAATAACTACTTTAATTTGTTTATCTATTAATTTCTTTTTTGCATCATAATAAGCTGACAATTTATGTGCTTTATCAAAATTGTGCCTCTTTGAACTCGATCTTTGCACATTATAAACTAAGTAGTTAGCACATTAATTAGCACGTTTGCTCCCACCCTTGGAAGTCTATAAAAAGCGCGCTTGCGGCGACTTAAATCATAGACCATGGCTTGGGCTTTGCATGGTAAAGTGCTGGTATTGCTGCTGGGTTACCTGGGCCTAGTGGCTGCTGATTTGCGAACAGATCTTCGAGATTTTGCTGCATTAGTTCCGCGACGACGAATCGCTCATATCGCTGCCCGGCATTATGTGTTCGATCAGCGTTTTCGACAAGCTATGCAATTCATACGAAGTGACGAGTTTTTGCAGATCTGGAAAGAAATACGCGCTGCTCCCGATGTTGCCGATCTGCTTGGGTTCCTCACCGTTAACGGTTCTGGCTATGATGTGAGCAGCGTGGTGGATATGGTGCCCAACCGTTTACATAGCTTTCAGATACCGCGCCTAGTGCCTGTCCAGATGATGCTGCAGAGAGACTTGACCACTTTTCTTCGAGAGGTGGTTCAAAGCCTGCCGCGCGCAAAGTTCTACAGCCTAGCAGCCCGAAAAGTGCATGAGGGCGGAGAATTCGCCCTACTTTACAAGGCTCTACGCAGTCAGAAGTTTCGGGATCTAATGCATAGTGTTCGGGTGAGTTCAACATAGAAGTATATTCTTATATGAATCTTGAATTTTTAACTACGTTGCCCACAGCATTCACCGGACTTGAAGACGCCACTCGACAAGTTGAGCGAACAATATATAAATGTAGACGAAATAATACAAATGACGTTCGAGCTCATCGGCTGGGGACCACAAACAACTTAAACTTTTGCCCAAAGATATTTTAATTAAGTATTTTAAATTTTTTGGGAGCGTGTTGCTTTGTCTAACCTTTTAAATAAGTTACAGGTTGCTGTTTGAAAACTCAAAATTTAATGCGCTTATCTGACCAGTGTACCCCGGTAGCGAAATTAAAACAAAACAAAACACAGAGTACGGGTCGAAAAGGGTAGACAGAATTTCAAGTCAACGGTTTGATAGTGCTTGGCTGAAATACTGTGCCACCATAAGGGTCATAAATACTTAAGGGAAGCTGATTTTCATGCAATTTTTATTACCTTGACTGAACAGTTGAAGGGTTTATTATATTCGTTGTGTGAGCTTGTACGCCCAAAACAAAGAATGTTACATCACATTTTATATATAAGTACGAGAACATTTATGATCAGTTGGCCAGCCCAATCCCAATCGAAATGTCCGTCTTTTCGTCTGTTAATTTTTTCATAAACAGCGCACAGAGCTTTCGTCAATATGAGATCATTACTATGATTTGAATAAATGATTTTTTGTCTAAAAAACTGGTTTTTAAAGATATTGCAGCCGAATTGTATGTTGTTTTTGTATATTTGCATCGTGGATAACGTACTGTAACCATGGATATCCAAAGGCACAATAAGTTCGATACAGCTTTCTAATTCATAATTAAATAGAGAGGGGACAATAGGGTATAGTTTGTAGCCCATAAAAACAGATGATAGTTCTTTTCTTGAAGACCTGTGAATTGTAGAACCTTTTTAAGCTGAGTGCATGTCCATTTCGAGAAGAATGTTTAATGAAACTCAATTTAATTCAAATTTGAAAATCATACTTTATATAATTTATTGGTTTTCTTTTTAGTATTTTTAGGTTAAATTCCATAAATCTTCTAAGATAAATTGTCGCATCTTCTAAGATATTACAATGTAAATTATTGTCGATAAAAAAATTGTCTTCTATATGGCCAAAAGATTTGGATTATTCTGAACCAATCAGATCAAAAGCTTATAAGCTTTCAGTTACAAGTAGTTACCACATAATTGAAAGATAAACATGACTTTTGTCTACAGTTGATTCGTAATTCTCGGAAGAGAAAATGGTACTACCCGAAATATCTTTATAAGATATACGCTATTGCTTTCGGTCGGCGATTATACATATATATACAAACATTATAAGTATATGCACTTATAACAGTCCGATAATCATACAAATTGGATAAAACAAAGCTAGTGGTGATGATTGTTTATCCCCTACAACATATTATTAGCAGTATACAAGGTGCGTTCCAAAGTAAACAGGACTGAATCTAGCGCCCCCTGGTGGCGCTATCTATATGTCAACTGGTTAGAATCTGCTATCTTTATAGATTATCCAGTGAAAATTACATGACATTTCATCGATTGGAAGTGAAGTTATTGCGTTTTAAGTGTCAGAATGTTTGTGTTATCGGTGTGAAAATGAGCTTCTAACAAAGAGCCAACATTAAATTTGGTTTTAAAATTGTTAAAACTTTTACCGAAACGTTTCAATTGATGGAACAAGTTTATGGCTATGACTGCCTATCCCGTAGCAGAGTGCACGAGTGGTTTCAACGTTTTCAAAGTGGTCGTGAGGACATAAATGACGATCAACATGTGGGCCAATCAAAATTCGTGATCACCGAAAATTCCATCGAAACTGTGCGTGAATTCATCAAAAATCAGCCGAAATCATCATTGAAATTGATGAAAATGGAATTGGAAATCTTCTTTGACCGAACATTTGTGTGCACGGTTTGTTCCGCACAAATTGACTGACGACCAAAAATTGCTCAGACGATCGTCGCTTGTGACCGAATTTTTGACCAAAATTCACACTTTAACCATTAACCACTCGCCGTATTCACCTGATATGGCAACGTGCGACTTCTACCTTTTCGGAAAAATGCATTTGCCCATGAAAGGAAAGCGTTATGCAGACGTAGAGGCCATTCAAAAGGCTTGCACCGGCATACTGGCAGCTACTGGCAGACAACGAGCTGAAACACTCGTTCGACATGCTTTTGGATCGTGCGAAACTGTATTGAAGCAAAAGAAGACTATTTTGAATAAAATAAATTGATTTTGCCGAAAAAACCATTTGTTATGTTTTTTTTTTTAAAGTCCTGTTTACTTTGGAACACACCTTGCAGTGTAGGATAACCTGAATTTCTCTTCTCTTTAATAAATATGAAAAAAAATCGCACTTTGATATAAAAAGATGGAGTTTATAAAACCGTTAAGAGAGACGTCAATTATGCCAAACTTGCCCACAATTATAAGAGTTTTGCTGGCAACATTGGTTGTCTGAGATGTTGCCCGCAAGGACCATGCCTTTCAACACCTTCGACACCATTTGACTATACCATGCACTTAGACTGCACTCTACATGACCCAGTAATGTGTTCATTTGAAATTAACATCAAAGTCATTTGCGTACGCACAATGTGCAAAGTCATTAGAGCATTTTATGCGTCAGGAGATATGCGTTGTGGCACGGAGCGTGAGGAGTGCGGCGAGATGACACAAATTTCCAAGTTAAGCCAAGTCAAAGCTCAACACAAGCGAACCTTAATGAGATGTGCTTGCAGGCGCCCAATGTCATTGATTTGATTGTGGCAGCTGGGCTGACGGGTTGACGTTGACTCAATTAAATTCTGCTGCCGGATGAGGGCGCCTAAAAGTCTGTGCCAATGCTCGAGTGTTGCGTGTCAGCAGCAATTTTTATTTGCCAACAAGCGATTTTTGTTTTATGGCTGGCAAGTTTATTTTCGACCATATAAGTGAATGAAAGCCGTTGCCAAGTTTATTTTTCAAAAGCAAATTGCGCGTTGCTGCTTCTGATGCTGCTGAATATGCAACAAAAGTTGCAGCTGCAACGCCCACAACTGCGCCAGCAGCAGCAGCAGCAGCAGCAGCCCATATCATTTTGCAGGAGTTTTGCAGTTTTTGGCTGTAGTCAAGGCGACAACTCTGGCGACGGCGTTGCCGTTGGCGATGGCGATGGCGACGCTGTTAACTATGACTGCCTGCTGGCAGCGTACAACTGGCGGCTGCTGTTTCTGCATTTTGCTTCACATTAATTTTATGCTGTGTTGTGTGTGCTGCTTAAAAAGCAACTACACCAACAATTTGCGAGAGTTTGTTGCAACTTGTTCTTGGGGCAGGGAGGGGTGGGTCGCGCTTAAATTGTCGCATTTGTCTACTTGCTACTACTCGCTTTTCCTCGTTGTTCTTGCTGGCTGCTGGTGCATTGCATAAACTTTGTGTAATCCTTTCAATTTGTTGCATGCTTTTAGGCGGAAATTAAAATAACAAGCCCGCATGCAGGCAACCAGTCAGTTGTGGATTTGTTCCAAACCTGTTATACACTCATTCGACATTTACACACACACACACACACACACACATACACACACACACACACACACTTATCGAAGCAGCGCGCACTTTTTGGCGACAAACGTTGCGCGGCTCCCGTAATTAGTTAGAGAGTGGTGGAGGGCGAAGGATCTTGAGCATGGCAGGAGCACACAATGTTTCGCATATTCAAATTACTGCTGCTGCTGCTGTTATTGCTTCTGTGCTGTTTAAATATTTCGCTGCTCTTTCTGAAAAGTATTAGGCGATGGGGTCTTCCGCCCATTAAGTCATTATGGGATGGCTGCTGTGCCAGATATTTTGGCATCAGATATTTGATAAGGTGGACGATAATCATTCCATTTTGCAAGTCAACATTTAATTATTTTACAACGTATATTTGTGGGCAACTTTCTGATCACCAAGTTCCATGATAAATGTGAACAGATTTAAGCTACCAATTTAATGTTCAGTCACCAATCAGACAGTTACGGCACACCTCTTAGTAATAACAAAAACAGCAGACTGGAAATGCTTTTTGAAGATCGTGTATGAATGTACGTACTTATGTATGTATGTAGGTATGTCTGGTTACTTACTATACTATATAATAAATATAATTATTCAATGACATTTTTTCTTTTTGCAGATTAAAAGAATTTTGTAAATTTGAAGGAAACTCAACTTGTAAGGACATATAGTATTACTTCTTAAAATGTTAAATCTGGGCTGATTTGCCTTATTTATTTTCGGTTTTACAGACATACATGTTTGTTGTTATGTTTTGCAATGCTTGTTCCAAGAGTATGCCCTCAGCGGCCACATAGACATGAACTGCTGCTGTATGTGTTCACTTCGTTTTGCCCTACTGTTAGTATCTCTTTTTTTTATTTTGTTTTTTTGCTTGTGCGAGGAGAAAAAATTATTTATATATTCTGAATCGTTGAAGGTCTGTTTATGTTGAGTTTATTTCTCAAATTTCGAACCAATCCGACGAAAGGCACACAAAAGAAAACTTGTTTCAAACTTACAAGTATAACTATGCAGCAAATTCTTCGCTATTATCGGCATTGATCACCTGTATGTTAGTCCGACAGAACAGACGGTTTTATAAACAAATACGTTGACAAAATATATACAATTACGCAATGCATATATATATGTTTATGTACATACAAAATATATGGTTCCATTTGAACCATGCATATTGTTGATGAGAGCTGACAGCTGGCAGTCTGTCTGTAATTCCGTATGATCACCTAGATCTTAAAGATTATAAGAGCTAGACTGATCGAGTTTTGCACAAAGATGCCTTACTAGTACGCTGTGGAAGTTTGTTATATTTTTGAATTTACCCTCACCCCTATAAGGGATTTTCCAAAATTCCGTTCATATAATCACCTACAGACCCTGCATCTTTTATAAAATGCTGTTAAATACTTCTTGCATATTGAGACTCGAAGCCAAGGCACAACAAGTATGGCACAGAAAATGGAATTTTATAATAGCTTTCAAGCTGGGGTTTTCCTAAATTGAAAATAATTGATTATGAATAAGGAATTTTATGAATATAGCGACAAAAAACACGAAATATGGTTTAAATACGTTTTAACCCCTCGAGTACAGGGC